AGAGAGAGAGAGAGATATGAACAAATACTGCAGAAAAATAATCTGAACGTAACTGCAAAGGAAAATCATAATCATCAACATTGAAGCAGTTTAACAAAGAAAAAGTCAAAAATCAGATCGAGATTTAAGCCACAGAATCATGTTTATAGAAGTTTGAATGCACATGCTTTTGATTTTTACAAAGATCACAGAAAAACAGGAAAACTGTGTCCACAATTTTATAGTAAATGGCATAGACAATAAACATGAAAAGAAAAAGTGTCTATAATGGTATAAAATACAACAAAATATATCAAGAATTAAGTTACAACATCAAATTGCCAATATTTCTGCCTATTTTAATTCAATTTTAGACTTTCTTATTCTATTCATTCAACTTTTGTTTCCTTTTTTTTAACAGACTGCTGAATTTCTAAGCTTAGGTTAATATGAGTAACTAAATTACTGACTAATTGCTCTTTGTAAATAAGGCTTTTTACAAAGAGCAAGGGTTGGTGTACTTAACGTTTTAGTCAGTTCCATCTTGGCAGATAAAGGAGCTGCAGAGGAGGCCTCCTCCCAGGAACAGAAGTGCTGTGGTGATCCAGCCAATATAAAGCGAGGCTCCAAGCTCACTCTTCAAAGAGACATGAGGAAGAAAGTTGTTGTAATTATCCTGTATGGTGGTGGTGGTGGCGTTGGTGGTCCAGCAGACTGGTATTAGCACAAAGATGCCTGCAATGAGACAAACAACTCCAGAAGCCATAGCCATTTTACTCCTTTTCCTTTCGTCTGGCACAAAGTTCATGAATTTGCTTCCAGCAGCACCAAGCAGGATCCCAATGACACCACTGATAATGGCAATGACAATGAGTGCTCTAGCAACCTCCAGGTCTTGACTTATAGGCAAAAGTGTTTCCTCATACTTTTTGCACGCCAAAATCTGTGCACTGAAAGTACCACAGACTTTCCACAAACCTTCAGTGAACACCAGGGAATCAAAAATGCTCGATTGCTCTAAGATTTTTGTGACTCTCCACTGTGGAAGAGCACAGATGACAATGGTCCCCACAAAGCTGATGATGGCCAAGGTCAAGCCTAGAAGGTGTCTTACACCAGCCGTCATAATGAAACGTTCTCTTTATCTCTTTATAGATAAAAGATGGTGTCTCCTCGAGAGCTGTAGTGATTTATCTGTGAGAGATGATCTGAGCAGGAAGTGGGTTTTATGTGGGTTATTTATGTTCGGGGAAGAAGTTGACTGTGGCTTCCTCTCACTGGTGTAAATTTTTAATTTAAATACTGGCAGCAGGGCTCCATGCACTTTATTATAAAATGTATAATTATTTTGCCATTTGTTTGGCATGTGGTGACTTTTAGAGAAACGCAGGCAGAGATTATCATCATCTATCAGTGTTAAATGATCAATATTACTGCTGAATGTGTTTAAGATTGTGTTCATTTTCAATACTTTTTTTTCTGTTCAATGTTCAGCATCATACTCTATAAATGTTTGTGGTGACTGAGGACCAGGTATATCTGGACAAATCAGTTGTTCATGAGCTCAAAAACAAAGGCCTACATTAGTAGTGACATCTGAGGATTTGTCAGGGGAATTCACTGCAGTCTGAGGTACTGGCTCGGAGCGTGTCATCTTATGCACATGGTGTCTCTATAGGGAAGAGTGGGGTGAGTTGTGCGAGTTTTTACTTAAAGTGACTTTAAAGTGAGGCCATGACAGTAATGATTCCAAATAAAACATTTACATATAACTCAGGATGTTGTCCATCCCTGGAAACCATAACTGTGGATCTGAAATATAGTTTTTAAGAAATATGTCTTTCTGAAAAAAAGTGGTCTTGCGGCACAACTTGCCCCTGGTGTGGGGTAAGTTGTGCCTTTGGAGAGAATACTTTGGGGTAAATCCTGCCACTGGTTATGAAAGTAAAACAGTATATTTTGATCTCAGAAACTGTAATGCTATATAAAAGCTAGACAAATTTAACACAAAATTACATAACTAAGGTTTATTGAAAGTTATTTTACAACATCAAAGGCTAATTTTTTACAAGACAATTTTACCACTTGCGCACATCAAAAGTCAGTTTTCTTAAACAAGGCCTGGGTCACATAACCTCATGTTCAGAACAAAATGAAATTTAAATGAAGACGAAATTAACTGCAATTCTCTTCACAGACTCCATAACATAAAATTTCTGATGATACCCACTGCTGCCTTCTGGCTGTACCGCCAAGTTTTTGTGGTGTGGGTAGTTGTTTTTTTATGCACATCTTCTCCAGGGATGACTCAATCATCATTTTTTTTGAAAGTGAAGATGGCTTTTCCATTCACAGACCTATTACTACTTCACCTTAAAAGCATTGCAACAGTGTTAGCACCATCAACCAATCCAATCACAATTACTTTCATATTTACATATATCAAGCTATAGTCTCTAAATAAGGAAACAACTTTCCTTCTCTGTGAGCTATCTGCATTTTGATAACTGATAATGAACATTTGGGGAAGTAATTATTAATGTTCCCTATTACTTTTTCTTAATATATGCACACTTTGATATTCCTGCCAGCTGGTTCAAAATGTTATTTCTTTGCGCATACTCAAATACCCTGAACTGGCTTTATAAAGGGTGCTAGTACCTTTTAATGATCTGCCAGCTCTTTCTCCATGTTTGTCAAAGTTTGATTGGCAAGTCCAGATCGTTCATATCCTTTTATAGTCTTATTTCTTTTCCATCAATTTTTCTCTTCTCCATGTATCGTCTTAATGCCATCCTGAATATATTCATCTTCCTCAACACCTGACCAATGGACTTCTCCTTTTCCACCTTGTTCACTGCTCTGTGCATGTCCTCTAAAGGAGTGGAAGCCCTGCCTGTCCTCCCTATTATAACTTCAGTCTATTTATTTTTTTGGTCTTAAATTAATAAAGTCCATCCATCCATCCATCCATCCATCCATCTTCATCCGCTTTATCCGGGGCCGGGTCGTGGGGGCAGCAGCCTAAGCAAGAGAAGCCCAGACCTCCCTCTCCCCAGCCACCTCCTCCAGCTTATCCGGGGGAACACCAAGGCGTTCCCAGGCCAGCCGAGAGATATAATCTCTCCAGCGTGTCCTGGGTCTGCCCCGGGGCCTCCTCCCGGTGGGACATGCCCGGAACACCTCACCCAGGAGGCGCCCAGGGCATCCTTGTCAGATGCCCGAACCACCTCAGCTGGCTCCTTTCGATGTGGAGCAGCAGCTGCTCTACTCTGAGCCCCTCCCGGATGGCCGAACCTCTCACCCTATCTCTAAGGGAGAGGCCAGCCACCCTTCGGAGGAAGCTCATTTCCTTGTATCCGCGATCTCGTTCTTTCGGTCACTACCCACAGCTCGTGGCCATAGGTGAGGGTAGGGACGTAGATCGACCGGTAAATTGAGAGCTTCGCTTTTACACTCAGCTCCCTCTTCACCACGACGGACCGGTGCAGCGTCTGCATCACTGCAGCTGCAGCCCCAATCCGTCTGTCGATCTCCGGCTCCCTTCTCCCATCACTCGCAACAAGACCCCGAGATACTTGAACTCCTCCACTTGGGGCAGGAACTCATCCCCGACCCGGAGTGGGCACTCCACCCTTTTCCGGCTGAGAACCATGGCCTCAGATTTGGAGGTGCTGATCCTCATTCCCCTGCTTCACACTCGGCTGCGAACCGTTCCAGTGCGAGCTGGAGGCCCTCACCCGATGAAGCCAACAGAACCACATCATCCGCGAAAACAGAGATGAGATTCTGAGGCCACCAAAGTGAAAGCCCTCCGCCACTTGGCTGCGCCTAGAAATCCTGTCCATAAAAATTATGAACAGAATACGGTGACAAAGGGCAGCCCTGGCGAGCCCATCACCCACCGGGAACGAGTCCGACTTATTGCTGCGAACCAAGCTCTTGCAACGTTGTATAGGGATGAATGGCCCGTAGCAATGGGCCAGACACCCCATACTCCCGCAGCACCTCCCACAGGACTCATCCCCAGACTCTGCTTCCTCCTCGGAAGACGTGTCAGTGGGATTAAGGAGGTCCTCGAAGTATTCCTTCCACCGCCTGACAATTTTCTTCAGGAGTCACAGCGCTCCGCCAGCACTATACACAGTGCAGGTAGAGCACCGCTTTCCCCTCCTGAGATGCCTGCGGTTTGCCAAATCTCTTCGAGGCAGTCCAAAGTCTTTTTCCATGGCCTCTCGAACTCCTCCCACACCCGAGTTTTTGCTTCAGCCACTGCCCGAGCCGCATTCCGCTTGGCCTGTCGATACCTGTCGGCTGCCTCCGGAGTCCCACAGGCTAACCAAGCCCGATAGGACTCCTTCTTCAGCCTGGTGGCTCCCTTCACCTCTGGTGTCCACCATTTGGTTCGGGGATTACCACCATGGCAGGCACCAACCACCTTGCGGCGCAGCTCAATGCAGCAGCTTCGGCAATGGAGATGCTGAACATGGTCCATTCGGACTCAATGTCCCCAGTCTCCCTCGGAATGCTGTTGAAGCTCTGCGCGGAAGATCTTGCGGACTGGGGCCTCTGCTAGACGTTCCCAGCACACCCTCATTACGTCGTTTAGGTGACCGGTCTGTCCAGCGTCCTCCCCCGCACCTGATCCACTCACCACCAGGTGGTGATCAGTTGACAGCTCAGCCCCTCTCTTTACCCGAGTGTCCAGAACATATGGTCGCAGGTCTGGTGATACGATTACAAAATCGATCATCGACCTGCGGCCTAGAGCGTCCTGGTGCCACGTGCACTTATGGACACTCTTATGTTCGAACAAGGTGTTGTTATGGCCAAACTGTGATTTGCACAGAAGTCCAATAACAAAACACCCTCGGGTTCAGATCAGGGAGGCCGTTCCTCCCAATCACGCCCCTCCAGGTCTCGCTGTCGTTACCCACGTGAGCATTGAAGTCTCCCAGCAGGACAACAGAGTCTCCAGGTGGAGCACCTTCCAGCACCCCACCCAGGGACTCTAAGAAGGCTGGGTACTCTGAACTGCCACTCGCCGCATAAGCGCAGATGACAGTCAGGACCAGTGTTGGGACTAACGCGTTATTAAGTAACGCTTTACAGTAACTACGTTATTATTGTGGTAACGAGCACGGTAACTAGTTATTATGCCAAAATCGGGAACGCGTTAGTCGTTACTGAGATTTAGATAGGTTTTTGTGTTGGATGTAAAAGGCGCACATGACTCTGTGACGTAGGCTAGAATCATGGCAGCAGTCAATGACGGTCCAGGCGTGGGATTTCTCTCGTGGAAATATGCACATTATCTTTTCCTTTCTATTGGTAGGTGGCACAGTGCACTTGTGGCAAGTAAGCAAGCTAGAAGACTGGCAAAGTTATGGAAGCAACACATTAACAAGAGAATTCTGAGTAAAACCAAAGTTACTTTCCCTAGTAACTAGTTACTTTGAAAGTAACGAGTAACTTGAAGTAACTGAGTTACTTTTGAGAGAAGTAACTAGTAATGTAACTAAGTTACTATTTTAAAGTAACTTACCCAACACTGGTCAGGACCCTTCCCCAACCCTAAGGCGCAAGGAAAAAACCTTCTCATCCAACGGGAAAAACCCCAACATACCGGCAGCAAGCCGAGGGGATATTAGAATACCCAGCCCGCCGCCTCTCACCAGGGGCAACTCCAGACTGAGACAGAGTCCAGCCCCTCTCCAGGAGACTGGTTCCAGAGCCTAAGCCATGCGTAGAGGTGAGCCCGACTATATCTAGCCGGTACCTCTCAACCTCACGCACTAACTCAGGCTCCTTCCCCACCAGAGAGGTGACATTCCATGTCCCTATTGCCAGTCTTGGCAGCCGGGATCAGTCCGCCAGGGCCTCCCTCCTCCACACAATGCACCCGACCCCTATGGTGCCTCCTGGGGTGGTGGGCCTGCGGGAGGATGGGCCCATGTCCCCTTTTTGGGCTGTGTCCGCCGGGCCCCATGGACTAAGCCCGGCCACCAGACACTTGCCTTCGGGCACCCTGCCCCGGCCTGGCTCCAGGCGGGCCCCCGGTAACCCTATCCCAGGCAGGGTAAACTGTTCCCTCGATGTTTTCTAAATTAATAAAGTCACAGTGATACACTGTAAAAATACAAATAATACAAATACAAAGTACAATAATTGCAATGAAATAATATATTTAAAATATTCACAAGCAAGCCTGCCATTTTGACAAAAAAGCATCATCCAGCAGT